TGTTAGAAACCTTGAACCTCGAATACTACAGAGAACTCCCTGTATAATTGATTAATTGTCAAGAAGATACAAAATCCTATATAAATATGCGGCTAAACAGTTATTGATAATGACTAACTAATCTAGTCTTATCAAGATAGGTATCTACATCAAATACAAGATAAATTAAAATAAACTAAAACTACCCTCAACTATCTCGATCTCTACATGCTATATGCACCCTTATATGAATGGCATAGGTTTTGGGTGAAATACCATTGCAATATTACATAAAATCATTAACTTAACAGAAACATCCAACTAAGAAATAATATTAGGTATTAGCTCCACAATCAAATTCATCAATAATATTAGTGAAAGCATATCATTAGATCATTTATCATTAGTAAAAAAAGATTGCAATCACCCCCGATCCCAAGACATGAAAATTGGATGGAAGGAGTACCCCATAGAATGCACAAATTCGAAAAACATAAAAAATAATTCTCAGACTTTGGGTTGAGAAATGACACTCCCCTCGCTCTCCAATTTCAAATAGAACAACAAAGCTAATTTCGGTCATTTTATACCCGAAAGTAAACGATCTTATAATACAAGAATTATCTACAAAGATATCATTTGTACAGAGGTTATAGTCACTCTTGTCCCTTAAACTTTTTTTCATTTTTCATTTTGCCATTTCATTGTTATGGAATCATTTGCATTCAATCCCACATTATCAAAATCTTATATATGCATTTCCAAATTTATGTGCAGGAAGTGGGATGGCCTTTCTTAGAAGAGTCTGATGGCAAGAGAGAAAAAGAACTTGACGCCTGAGGTTGATCCTGCTGTCCAAGTTTAAATATTCTTTATGGGCTTCCTAATTTTATTTTCATGTATTTTTCTTGTTCATGTTTTTCTCCATTAATAACTGTTATGTCCCTGTGTTTACCAAAGTTTTGATTTTAAACTATTGTAATTTGTTTCTCTATTACGTTTGTCGTCCTCGATATTTCAATAATAAAACCAAAGTGCTTCATTGTTTTCTCTGTCCAGTGCTCACAATGTACTCCAACTGGAACACACTATACTTACTCCCTCAGGCAAAGAGTTAGTGTAAAACGAGATGTATTTTAAAAAAATTAAATTACTCATAAACACTTAGATCTGAACTTTCAAAAACTGAAAGACAAACAATGTTGTTTTATTTGCTAGAAATAGGGTGCGGGTGTCTTTTTTTTTAAAGGTTGGTTGCTAGATTGGGAATTTTGCATCCGATGCGGTCCTAAAAAATACTTCTACTATGAGTCAACGAACAATTTGCTCCCACTAGAATATATGGGATTGTCTATAAAGAGAACATTTTTATCTGGAAGTCACAATGGTTTTTGTTTTTTAAATTTTAAATTGGATGGTAGTACGAGTATCATTGAATGGAAACAAAGTTTCAAAAAAAAAAAATTATTAGATTTCCCAACTTGTTTCAAGACATCCAATTTGACATGTAATGAGTGGGAATAATTGTGACCTCTATATACAAAAAAATAAATGATCTCTTTGTAAACAATCCCAAAACATAAAATCTTTTAGCTTCTTTCTCATTGTTGATGCATGTTTCTTTCAATACATACCAGATAAATAAATTGGTTCATTAACAAAGGCACACAAGGAACCCAATATAATACAAAAACCCAAGGAAGGTGCACCCCAAGAGTTAGCAGGCTGAAGTTTTATGCCCAAAATCCATAAAGAAATGCGTTTAGCACGTAGGCAAAATGGAGGGGAGAATAACCAAGGCTCTGCTAACAGAGAAGATGAATCTCACGACGTGATATTATAATAGTAAATATCATAAAATGCTATAATATTAATGTCATTAAATATCCTAATTCCTTCAATCAACAACACTAACAAATAAGTGTGTGCTTTTTAATTGGTATCAACCTTAAACAATCAAAGTAAGATACACCTCAAAATTTGCTAGAAGATGTAATTTTGGTGCCAAAAACTCTTCAATAGCCTGAATATATATTTTTATCTCAATTTTGAAATTTAAAGCTAAAAAAATTACAAATAGAGGTGATCTAAAACACTTGAAAACATTAAGAATGGACAATCAAGATAATATGTTATAAAATGTACAGTATTAAGACTTTAAAGCTTTCTTTCTTTTTTAATATTTATATATTAAGACTTTAAAGCTTTCTTTATTTTTTAAATATTTATATATCTCGCATGATTGATGAAATGTTCGCTTTTAATGGTTTGATGCAGCGTTTTAAAAAACGCCGAGTCGAACCGGCGCGAAAAGGGACCGGATCGGTTGAAAAATCGGAAATCGTCCGGTTCTAGAGAGAATCGGACGATTCCGCACAGTGACTCGTAGATTTACTGTACGGAATCGGCGAGTCTGTTACGGTTTTTTTTTTTTTTTTTTTTAGTGTAATCCATGATTAGATTTTTTTGTAATACTTGATTCGATTTTTTTGTAATCCATGATCGAATTG